CTCTTTGATGAGAGACATGTGATGATACAATTATCTAAATTGGAAAACTATGCTAAAAAATTTTCCAAAATGTTTATGAAAATAGATGAAAAATATATGAAACTGCTTAAGTGGTTTCCTGAATTTGACCCTAGTCAAGAACCATCTATAGTTTCAATCTAGTTTAAACTACCTGGCCTAAAGTTGCACTACTTCAATCACCAAGTCCTCTATTCTATTGGAGCTGTGCTAGGGAGATCTATGAAATTGGATACACCTACCTTCAATCTTATCAGACATTTGGTTGCAAGAATTCTTGTTGAAAGGGATATCACCCTCTCTGATGTGGACGAAATATGGCTTGGTACTGCCCACAATGAGTATTGATAGCCAATTGTTGCAAAACAAAGACCCTACTACTGCAATCACTTTTAGGCACACCCCTGTCAAATGCTTCAGGCTTCACCCACATTTGAGATCGACAGGTCTTAATAACATTATCCATTTGGAGGAAAATATAGCAGACATTGTTAATCTTCTAGATATGTCGAATGAGAATTTGACTCATAAGGCTACTCTTCGCCAACCAAACCAACAGCTTCCGCCTACTGTTGTTGAGGCAGCTCTTACTCATATCACAAATTCTAAGGATTTTGTTGTAGTAGATTCTAACCGAAGTGTCTTGGAACCACCTATTGCGAGAAAAGAGGGTACTTAAGTTCTGGAGGAGTGTCAGGATCAAGGTGTGCTGCAGGCTGAGTCAGATCAGCAGTTTACCACCATCGAGGATCCACCTATTGTTCAGACGGGACTACCTCTAGCAGATGATTGGCAGGTTCACGAATCTAGGAAGAAGAAAAAAGGAATGCCACATCTCAGTAATTCTCAAGATGACTGTATCATTGCTTTGGGCGGAAGCCCACATATCAGTATGTTGCTGGACTCCCTCCCTAGATCCAAGGGAAGAGGAAGCGTTTTATCCACCGACTACACACACCATGATTATGAGTTGTTTCTTTTTATTATATTTTGGGGAATACGTGTACTTGTATTCCCTGTGAGTGGGCTCTTTGTATCCACTCACTAATCCTTTGTATCCTCTCTTTTATATCAATGAATTTTGCCTTTTCAATGTATATAATTTTGTTATTAAATTAGTTAAATAAAATTTATCAAAACTTGCCTTTAAATCTTGGTCAAGCCCTAATCTGCATGTGAAATTCGTCTCCTTTCTACATGGATGAGAGCGGTTACACAGGTTCCTCCTCCCGCTTATAAGCCTAGTGTGCACTAGTGTGCAAATTAAATAAATCATTATATGTGTTGAAAGGATCTCCCAGAGCATGGTTTGAAAGGCTCACCAAGATTATTCTTGCCAATAAGTACTATCAATGTTAGGCTGATCACATTTTGTTTATGAAATCAAACCAAGAAGATATGATAGTCATCCTTATTGTTATGTAAATGACATTCTTACAATTAATGGCGTGAGGGAACTTGAAATAAGCAAAAGAATAATGGTTTTGGAGTTTGAGATCAATGATGTTGGAATTTTAAAATACTTCCTTGGAATGGAAGTGGCTAGATCCAAAGAAGGCTTTGTCATATTCCAAAAAAATTATATCATTCGCTTATTAAAGGAGATAGGAATGTTGTGGTATAAACCATCAGATACTTCTATGAATCCCAATCGATGAGCATCAAAAGGAGAGGGTAAAACTCCAGTTGAAAAGGGGATGTATCAAAGACTTGTCGGGAAACTTATTTATCTATCACATACAAGACATAACATTATTTTTTTTTTGTGGGTGTGTGAGGCAACATATGAACGATTCAAATGAAGATCATTTATAAGCTGTCTTTCGAATTAAGATCTACGCTAAAGCTAGCTGGGTGGGAGAACTGATTGACAAAATATCAACCATGGGTTACTATTCATTTGTATGGGGTAATCTGGTTACTTAGATAAGTAAAAAAGCAAGTTTTGGTGGCAAGTAGTGTAAAATCCATGTATCATGCCCCGGCCCTAAGAATTTGTGAAGGGGTGTGGCTAAAGAAATTATTGGTCGAACCACACATGGAGAACAAGAGAACTATTAAGACGTTCAGTGGTAGACAATCAACCATCATTATTTCAAAGAATCTGACAGAGTCAAACACGTAGAGATTGACATGTACTTCATCTCTGAGAAGGTTAATAGATGGGTTTTCCAACTAAGCTATATCCTAACTCAGTATAAGATTGTTGACATTTTTACCAAAGCTCTACCTCGGCACCACTTTAGTGATCTCAACAATAGGTTTGGGATGTATGAAATATGCAACCCAACTTGAAGGGAAGTGTTGATATGCATGTATGTGGGCCACAAGAGCACACCCACGGTTTAAGAAATCGTAAGTCCGTCGCTAGATTTGAGAGAGAGAAATTGTATTTCTTTTAATTATTCATTATTTTGTTTTGTTTATTTCATTCTTATCATAATAATTTGAATTTTCCCCCCAATTTTATGAGGGTTAGTTTGAGTTGTATATATATATTTTATTTGCTTGTGTTAGTTTAATGAGAAAATTAGAGTTTTTCCTAGAAAGCTCCTCCTAAATTTCACAATGAAGAGTAATTCTTTTTCTCCTCTCAAAACCTACACTGTTGAATACATTACATGTACATGTTGGATACATATAAAACACATTGTCTCTAACATGCCTTGATACATGTTCAACATGCTCGATTTTGTTGGAAGCATTTCATGACAAAATCAGGATTTGACACAAGCTGGGCTAAAATATTTGACAACTGACGAGGATTCATAAATTCCACTTGGGCTAAAATATTTCTTTCATTTTTAGTTTTTTAATAATTATAATTGTTAAGTTTTTTTGTGAACTATATGTATATGATATCATTTTTCACCAGGTTGTCTTTAGTAGAAACTAGAAAGTATTATAAATTGTATATTTCATATTAATAATTTATAAAATATAACATTTTGTTCATTATACTACTTTTCATGGCTATGTCGTGTTGTGTTTATGTTGTACCGTGCCATTGTGTTTTTTCTTAATCTAATAATCTAGATTTGAATCAAATTAGTTCATGGGGACCAATATGCCCATCAATTGTTCAAGGGGGCTTTTATGTGACCATTGGTGCTCAGCTTATTATGCTTGATTAATTCATATTGGGGCTAGCTCAAAAGCTTGAAGAACAGCTAATTCAATAATTCAAGATCCGAGTCTTTGATTCTTTTTGGAAAGAATATTACTCTTGATCATACAAATTTATGTTATGATGCTATAAGACATCTTTTGAGATTGCAACCCATGGAATATTTAACTTTGAGGTTATTCTCAATAGTTATTGTTCAAGTTAACATTCACATAATAAATAACATTTTAACATGTCTGCGAGGTGCCTTGAATTAGAAAACTTGAGCTCGCTTAAGCTCTAGATTAAATTTTAAGTCTTCATAAAGTCTCTTTTCTATTAAAAACATTAATTTTATTATTTGAGTTCAATTATTCAAATAGCTTTTTTTTAATGGTAAATTATCAATTTTTCTTTTCAATGAAAATACCCATACAAGTGAAATGTAGAGGAGATTTAAAGAAAAAAGTAAAAGGATTCCTAACAATTTTAAATCAATATTCAGCCAATAAGATTTTTATGTGACAAATAACAAGCTTGTATATGTCATGACTCGACACAAGGGCTTGATATATACTAAGGCAAGTGCAGGCAGTTGGATTAAAAATTCTCTTTATGTAACATTCAAAAAATTTACAAACATAAATCTTCTAATCTCAAAAGATTCAACTAAACCATTGAGTTTTATTCATAAATTTGTCATAAAATGCATCATTTTTCTTTATTGTACACTTTCCAAAATACAACTCATACAAAAAAATATCATAGCATCTATCTCTGGTTAAAATTCGTCTGTCATAAACAAACTCCCCTCTTTCACCCATTTAATTTAAGAGAAGCTTTCTTCAAACTATTTATCATTTATTTAAATTAATTTAGTGTCATAATTCACATTCAAACATATGCATGAAAAGATGTGTTCACTTTAGAAAAACAAAAACTAATGATATTTTTATGTGATATTAAAAGTTGGGGTGTTTATTAAATAAATATTTAAGTTTATGCATTAGATATATAAAAACATAGGAATTATGTTTTTTTTTATGTGAATCCTACAAAAATAATCACCTTAAAGGAATAAGAAATCTCAATTTTCATATTTTAGAATTGGCCTTGAGCCTCTTGTTCTAGCTCGACCCTCCACTCCTGCTATACATTTTTTTATTATTATTATTTTTTTTTTTTGGCTTGGGTGTCCGCTGGACTCATCTTGCCAGCTTGAGCTAGCCGTCCTCTTGGTTCTTTTGTGATTGGCAATTCAGTCTTGGGCTTCTTCGCCGATGCCTCCTTCTGTCTCTCCTCTCTGTTAACTTCCTCTACTTTGGGCATCATTTGGTCTCTGTAGAATGTAAGGGCGGGAGAGAGAGACAGAGAGAGAGAGAGAGGAAAGGAAGTAAGGGAAGGAAAGATAGCAGGAAAGGAAGATTAGCTGAATTTTTTCAGCACGATAAATTGAGAAAAGAGAACATTACAATTTGTAACTTTTATTTTATTATTAATGGTTCTATTAACATAAGGATCATATGAATTGTTTTTTTTATATCGTGGATACCTGCATGCAATTTACCAAGATGTCTATATTATGTTCATTTATCATATAGTCGCTACTTCACATATTTCCGCACTTTCCATTGCCTTTATTTTTTTTGTCTTAATCTGTTATTGGTTTTTCCGGTAGTTTGTCAAGAGGTAAGTATTTTTATTTTATTTTATTTTTTTTTCTGAACTCCATATTTTATTCTCGTGCAGGTCAATTTTTTGTCCTAATTTTTTTCTATTACTAATGCAATCTAACAACAGAAGGCATTTAATTTTATTTTATATCCATCTTCACCTTAAGAAGCAAGCTTTAAAATAACCTAATTTTTGTTTTCAGGTTGACCAAAATGTCAGTCCAGATTCAGGTAGCCTGAAAGTTGCATTTGAAGTAAATGAAATCCCTTTGAAGGGCTAGTAATGCAAAATGCACAATTTAAAGGTTGTTCTTGATTTTTTTATGCTTGGTGTTGTTCAGCTTTTATGAAGCAGGATGAACATATTTTAAGTGTAGCTGCGGCAGAACAACAGATTCTGGTATCTTCCAAAGCTCACTTATCATAGTTTCTATTCCATCAGAATATATTTAAGTCATCCAACAGCGAAATATTTGAGATAATTTTGCTACTGTATGAATATTGTGTTTCATTTCCCTGTCTTTGATCACTTAAACCCGAAATGTTTAATTCTCCCTCCCTGAGTTTGGAGTTGAAAATTTCTTGCTTTGCATATCATAAATTTGTTTTGGTAAATCTATGTTTTTTGGCTTTTGCAATTTTTCCTTTCCATCATGCTGATATTTCTGATTACAATTTTAAATATAGCTGCTTGCTAGACAGCAAGCTCAGAGAGAAGAAGAACTTGCACAGTCACAAAGGCACATCTTGGCTCTTCAGGTGAGCTCTGAAACACATGATAATATGCTCCTCTGAAGCATTATATAACATTTCAAATTCACCAGGAAGAGATTGAAGAGCTGGAGCGAGAAAATCATTTGCACAAACAACAGGTATGATTCATTTTTCTTCATATGAATTTTATTTGCCTTGAACACGATCTGAACTAATGTGCTTGTCTCACAGTTTTCCAAATAAATATCATCTAATATTCCACCAAGTGCTTTTTAGCGTGAATTGCTTTTTTTTTTTTTTGGTCACATTTGTATCATAGATCATAGAACACTAGGAACCACTTTAATTAAACTATGTTCCTTGTAAAGGGGAGAATACTGAAAGCTTCATTTTTCTACTTTGTTTGATATTCTGAGTCATTTACTTTCTGTCTACCTATAATTTGTGGCCAACTATTATTAATAGGTGATAAGGTGTTTTCTGCAATTATCTAATTTTATGACGACTGTTCCCACCAAAGAACTTCTGAAATTTTTAGAATCATTCCTGATTTTGTCAAATATGATTTGCAAAGATTACTTCTATTCATACTTTCATGGAAAGATTGGTTTGTTTTTTGTAATTCCGAGCAGGAGGCAATGTTGAAGGAAGAGATTCGTATTGTGGAGAGATCAAAGAAACGTGATGGAGTAGATATGACATATCTTAAAAATGTCATACTAAAACTTCTTGAGACAGGTATCTGCAAATTATGTCTCTCTTTTATAAAATTTGGGAAATTTAAGTACGTAGCACACGATTCTTATGTATTTACATATCTCACGCCTAATTATTCATATTTGCATATAAACCTATGCATGATAATTAATATTATAGATTTGAGTGTTATGTGTGTAAATATAAAAGGTTAGGTGTGAGATATGTAAATACATAAGAATTATGTGATACGTATGTAAATGTCCTTAAAAGTTCATTTCACATCGTTTTCTTAAAATATTGCACGACTGAGTGAGCATGCTTGTGAAAATCAAAAGCACCCAACAGTTGAACCTGCCTCCAAATCAGTTTGGTCCATATAAACAATTAGCATTTTGAGAGAATCCGATCAACCCATAAAAATCGATGCTTGAACCATTTAACCCTTAATATGGGAATGGTTGTACTCATTGGACTAGAAGTTGAAATGAACAGATGATATTATAACACAATTTATTTGGATTTAATTCACATGCATTTGTAATACTTTATGATATTTATCTTACATATGTGCATATTATCACTAATTTATTATTAGGAAGATTTACATACATATCATTTAATTCATATGTATTTACATATCTAAACATCTAAAACTTAATTTTTTTACAAATATGCCAATCTATCTATGCTTGAAAATGTGTATTTCAATTTTAAAAGTTAAAATAGTGATATTTTTTAAGTAATACGGACTTTTTGGGTGATCTAAATGTAAAAAAAGAAAGGTTTAGCTGTTAAGTATGTAAATACATAGGCATTGTATTGATTATATACAATTAGAAATTTTTCAGCATTATAAACTGAGAAAAGACAACATTACAATTTGTAACTTTTATTTCTTTATAAATATATATTACATCATTTAAATAATTTTAATTAATTCTATAATTTTTAAATTTCACAGCCCGTCTCAGGGTTTGGAACTTTTTAAGGTGACAACGGATGGTCAGACGGTGATAATTAAATTTTTATATTTTTATTTTTTAAATTGAACGAAATAATTCTATTGACGAAAATCAGAAAGCTAAATCCTAAAACTGTACCACTAACAATCTCATAGCACATGAACAAGAATATTGGTCACATTATCAAAATATAACATTTTTTTTAGTTAATAAAAAACCGACCATCACTGGTGTTGAAAATCGAACCAAAAGTGAATTCTATATGCTACAAACTTCATATTAGGAAGATTATCAAAAACCTCTCAAATCCACTTTTTAAGATGCGAGCCAATTTTTTATATAATTTCCACTACCTAATACCCGAGATAGAAAGATGTTGAATAGTAGTAATGGGAAAGGACTCCACCCAAAATCTGTTAGAAATAAAAGTATTCAGTCTTTCTAAATCATTTCCCCTAGCTCAAGTGCAAAGATTGCCTTGAAAACCCATATCACAAAGGTCATTCTCCACAAGGAAATCAGAGAATTCTATCATCCTTGAGACATATTGTTAAGATATCGTGAAGCCTACTCTCTGCAAGAAGGACAGTCCAAGCCAGGTAGTAGATGAAAAAGGCTACTCAAATTCACTTATGAAATAAAGAACATAAAAGAAATAACCCCAATATCCACTTTCCACGAGATTGAAAGCTCCTCAAATTCACTATTCTGCAAGAGCATAAAACTAATTTTATGAAATTTTATAATTTTATGAAGCATCTCATGGCTCCATTAAGCTGAAATGCTACATAATTTCTCAAAAAAATTAACCCAATAAATTAAACGGTTGTTTCATATCTTCCCAAATTTCAACCACAAAGATTCATATTAAACCTCCACCTAAATTTGTTTGTCAAATGGGTGACTACACTGTTAAGTGACAAACTATGGTGCCACAACCAATAGCAATTGCTTACATATCTTACCCCAATTCTATTTGTAAAGAACACAAATAATATGTAAAGTTCAGTAATAGTGCTTCTAGACAAGTGCACAAATAATTAAGCTCTGAATCCCGTACTCCAACAGTTATCACCAAATATGTAAAGTTCAGTAATGTTGCTTCAAACCAAGAAGGAAGAAAAAATGAAAACGAACTACACTGCCAAAAAACCAAGCCAGCCAAAGAAATTTGAGTCAATTTTCTCCTTTGGAAAACGATAAAATAAGCCAAAGAAACCCAAATGAAAATGTCAATCCCTTGAGATTTTTCACAGAATGCTTTCCACTACTCACACAATCATTTCATCATAAACGAGGAAAACAAGCCATATAAAGAAAATGTCAACCTTTGATATTCTTGAAAGAATGTTTGCTGCTACTCACACAAAACCAATTCATCAAGAATTCACTTCAAAATTAGCAAGTTACAGAGCACCACACCATACTTAATCGCAGTAGGGCTGTCAATTAGGCTCGTTGTTCTTGAACAGCTCGTGTTCGGCTTGTTCGTTAAGCCG